TGATTGAAAATAGAAAGTTCAACTCATAATTGATAATTGTGAATTGATAATTGTTACTTGATAATTGTTGATTGATGCTGCATAAATCCACACTAGCTTACTCTTTCAACCTCAAGTTCTTTAACGGTCTGTGTGGCAAAGGTTTGTAGTTAAACTTCATCAGGTTCATATAGAAGTGTGATCAGTTTTCATCACAATGGGTTTCATTTCACGTCAATATCTCCTTCCTAAGAGGAGATACAAGTGTTTTATGAAAGTAGAGAATTTTTCAACAATGATTCAGAACCATTCTCCAACCTTCTGCTTGATCATGCTTTGGATCGATCTCTCTTCACCCGCCCCTTCTAAACACATTATTTCTAGATTCACGTCAATATCTTGAAGAAGAGATACAATTGTTTTTCTGCAACCGACATAAAAGTCGTCCATTTTAATACCAAAATCAGCTCTTGAATTGAGGTTTCTATAACTGACACAAACATAGGTATGTTGCTAGGCGATACAACTAGGAGCTAAAGTTGAACTTTACCTCCTAGGAACTGAAGACGATGTACAAGGTCATCAGGAATAAACAACATTGTTACGGTGGGTTATTTGGGTTGGGGTGCATATCTCATTTGTTTCCGATTTCGGCAGATTTGGCATTTCATATACCCATGCTGGAGATATAAATTCATAAATACACCATATTATAGTTGAATTTTTGTTCGGATCAGGAAAGCCTTCAAGATTCACATACTTGCTTGATCTGTATTTCATTCGTTATTCTCGGTATATGGATAACCTATTTTTGTATATTGTATATTGTATATTGTATATTGTATATTGTATATTGTATATTGTATATTGTATATTGTATATTGTATATTGTATATTGTATATTGTATATTGTATATTGTATATTGTATATTGTATATTGTATATTGTATATTGTATATTGTATATTGTATATTGTATATTGTATATTGTATATTGTATATTGTATATTGTATATTGTATATTGTATATTGTATATTGTATATTGTATATTGTATATTGTATATTGTATATTGTATATTGTATATTGTATATTGTATATTGTATATTGTATATTGTATATTGTATATTGTATATTGTATATTGTATATTGTATATTGTATATTGTATATTGTATATTGTATATTGTATATTGTATATTGTATATTGTATATTGTATATTGTATATTGTATATTGTATATTGTATATTGTATATTGTATATTGTATATTGTATATTGTATATTGTATATTGTATATTGTATATTGTATATTGTATATTGTATATTGTATATTGTATATTGTATATTGTATATTGTATATTGTATATTGTATATTGTATATTGTATATTGTATATTGTATATTGTATATTGTATATTGTATATTGTATATTGTATATTGTATATTGTATATTGTATATTGTATATTGTATATTGTATATTGTATATTGTATATTGTATATTGTATATTGTATATTGTATATTGTATATTGTATATTGTATATTGTATATTGTATATTGTATATTGTATATTGTATATTGTATATTGTATATTGTATATTGTATATTGTATATTGTATATTGTATATTGTATATTGTATATTGTATATTGTATATTGTATATTGTATATTGTATATTGTATATTGTATATTGTATATTGTATATTGTATATTGTATATTGTATATTGTATATTGTATATTGTATATTGTATATTGTATATTGTATATTGTATATTGTATATTGTATATTGTATATTGTATATTGTATATTGTATATTGTATATTGTATATTGTATATTGTATATTGTATATTGTATATTGTATATTGTATATTGTATATTGTATATTGTATATTGTATATTGTATATTGTATATTGTATATTGTATATTGTATATTGTATATTGTATATTGTATATTGTATATTGTATATTGTATATTGTATATTGTATATTGTATATTGTATATTGTATATTGTATATTGTATATTGTATATTGTATATTGTATATTGTATATTGTATATTGTATATTGTATATTGTATATTGTATATTGTATATTGTATATTGTATATTGTATATTGTATATTGTATATTGTATATTGTATATTGTATATTGTATATTGTATATTGCCATTAAAGCACCTGTTCCATACACAAATATGTCGCTCTGTGGTTGTATTTATATTGAAACTACAATTCAACCATCCTTGAAAATTGAATGACCCTGATCTGTGAATGCAGGTAGAATATTTACATCACAGGGATCATTTGTTGCATTGCATACATATTCACGGCATCCACGTTTCGGGTATAGTATTGAATTCGTGCCTTCAGTATCTGATGACATTATGCTTGTCAACAAAAATTGTAACAAAGTAAAGTAGTCTGAAGTCTTGCTTCGAAAAAACTTACTCATAATATTATAATAAAGGTATTATAATAATCTGTCAACTGAGTCACATTGGTGGTTACTTACACTTACACATATTCATTGCAGTTAATTCTTTCGGCTGCCGAAAAAATAGCATGTTTCATTTGTATAAGGAGTGACTTTGTTTGACTCGCAAATTTTGCTAGACGCTTCGGCTCGCAAATGCAAAATCGAGATTTTCCAACTAAAAGATCTTTTCGTGTCGAAAATATTCATAATTTGTCAAAACGGAAATTTTCAACCACCCTGTATCTGTTTTTTTTATATTCTGGTTCCCACGAAAAAGGAAATCCTGCAATGTTCAGAGAACATCGTGAAAACCAACGAAAATGAGGTAGGAATTGGTGTTCTCCTTAAATTTCTGGAGGTTGGATAAACGAGTCTTTGGAAAGAGATGTTCTGCAGGTCTCCAAAGATGAGATAGGGACTTAAAAACCGTTTTGACTAATTATGAATAGTTTCGACACAACAAATTCTTGAAATCAGCTCATAAGGGAGAATCTGAAAATGGAATGATATATAGGGTGTCCCATTCCAAAAATCAAAGATGTTGCTACTTTTCAATATAAGCGGCAACGTCGCAGTGTTGAGAATATTTTAGGTGGATGAAACACAACTAATTATTCAGGAAACCAAATTTTCAGTATAATCCTACGTTGCGTTCTCCAGAAACGTCTAATGTGCCATCCACCGTGAATCAACCTGTATAGGTCAGATGTATCATCAAATAATTACATGAAATGAATGTGAAAATATCATTTATTTTGGCCCGAAACCTCCGTATCGTATTAAATAATCACTCTTGATGTCTTCTTCTTCTTCGAAGCACTGGTGGGCGGGTGAACCCCCTGCACGTGGCCTCCTTATTCGGGCCCATTGTGCGCCCACATGTTACGACATTCAGCTGGGTATGCCGACTGCCTTGGAGAAGTTCAGCAGCTTCCTCAGCTGAATCTCTTCTACGTTCTCTGGCCTCAAAATTATGTTGCCATGGACAGCCCTCCTCTAATGCGTCAGTGCTGGACACTCAGTGAGGACATGTGATGACGTTTCGTCATCTTCCAGGCACCATCTTGATCCCAATAAGCTCTAGGTGCCTATTGAGATAGTTGTGCCCCGTTAGGAGCCCCACTACCATTTTTAGGTTTCGCCCGGTTTCGCCTGTTTAGGAATAAAACCTCTTTTGCGAGCCTCTTCGAAGGTTCCTTTATGTGGAGCTTCGATTGTCTCATTCCTGGTGTGTCCTGCCATATTTTGAGGAATTGCTTTTGCAGCTGTTCCTCTATAGAGGACATTGCCAGGCTATTTGGTATCCCCAAGATTGGTTCCGGTCCGACTGAGGTCCGTCCTGAACCGATCTTTGCCAGTCTGTCTGCCTCCTCGTTTCCGGGTATTCCCGAATGTTCCGGGACCCACATGAGGCTGACTTTTCTTGATTTTGACAGGTTTTCCAAGGCTTTTTTGCACTCGGACACCAAATTGGACGTGATCCTATTGGATTACAAAGCCAGTATTGCAGCTTTGCTGTCCGAGCATAATATAGTGATTGGTCTACGACCTTTCATAATTTGGTTTACTTGGACACAGGTGAGTATTGCAAGTACTTCTGCCTGGAACACTGAGGTATATTTGTCCAAAGGAACTGAAATTTCTTTCCCTTTCCCTTCCACTCTTGATATATCAAGTCGATAATCGTATAATTTTTTACCAAATAATTTTCCAGAATTGAAAAAATCTATTTGGCACATTTATTTTCGAGGTTTATATGCAGTGGAAAGTTTATCAAGAAGAAATCAAAACTTTTCATTCCAGTGGAATAAAAAAAGAATCGGAAATTAGTTTATTGAATAGAAAGTGAAATTTTTAATACATTGAAAGTGCTTTGATGGGTGGATCTTCAACATATTTTCTCGACACTAAGGTTCCAAGAGTGTTTCGATTTTTTTTATATAGATAATTTTCACTGACAGAGCTCCTGAAAATAAATGTGTTGAATTGATGTTTTCTATTCTGGAAAATATCTGGGTGAAAATTATTTGATTATCAACTCGAACCAGCTAGAGTCATTGATTATTTCAATACAGAGGTTTCATGCCTGTTATAGGTTCCGGAGAATAATAGTGAATTTACTCTCTAATTATAGTAACACACATTGATGATTGACCGTAATTCGTCGAGGTTGTAGCCTTGAAGTCATGCTTTATTAAATTATCTAGTAACTTCTATTGGGTAGTCATAGCAAAATGGATTGAATAGAATCAATAAGACAGCTAGGCTATCCTCTATTCAATCATTTTTTTCATGAAAGTTATTAAATATTTAATAACCGGTAATCGATTTTTTTCTTAGTGCATCAGTGAAGATATGGATATCATGTGAACTTTCTTGAACAACCTCAATGACATATAAACTTATTGATATATTTTTATTCAATATTATTAGGTGTCATCACCTTCTCCCATTTCAGTAAAATTTGATCTATAAATTGAAACCATATTCACTGTACTATAACCAATAATAATTATAGGCGTATTTGTTTCTTCAAGGTCCCCACTGCTTCAAATATAATATATATAGGAAATAACATCACACACGATTTGGAACTGTTGTTGTGTTCAAAAGTTGTTAGATTTTTATAGCAAAAATGAAAATGATCATTTTTGCATTTGCATTAGCTTTCTTAGCTGAGACTTACGCCCAAGTGCCATCTTTTTCTTGTCCTGATGTGTCTGTGGTACAAAATTTCCAACCGTCCAAAGTAAGTACCATCATTAAGAATCCATTTTTTGTTATCTCTTAGAGCGCACGAAAGGAAATCCCTACAATGTCAGAGGAATATCGTGCTGACCTAGGAAGGATAGGGAGAGAATGTATTTTCTCTCAATCAATGATAATACCGGGTGACACAGGAGACATATGTAACAGCCTGTAGTTTTTTTTTTATTTGCAGAGATAAAAATTTTAAATTCACCAACTTTTTTTTTTTCAGATAGCACCCTGTATATGTCTGTAGCCTATCTCAACTGCCTTGAAATTCTCTATTCAACTATGTATCACAATTTGATATTCGTTCATTAATTGGCTGTTGAATTACATTTTATTGAAATACATGAAGTTGGATGGCCCGAATGCAATGACATAATCCGAAGATCATTACTTAGACTTTAGACGGTATTATCAGAATATTTTCCATACCCTAATCGGTCCCAGAAGATTGCCAATGATTTAATCGAGTTTAAAAAAATCATACGAAAATATAACTCACGATATTGAGAAAACTAAGATAGAAATTCAGTTTTTTTCATTTGGCTACTTGTGAAGCAACTATTTGTCTTTCATTTTCGCAATGTAGCCATAATACGATCATCCATTTGGATACATGAAACTGAAATTGTTGTAATAATTGATGTGAGTTATTTTCGGATGAATTTTTTAAACTCAATGATATTATTGGCAACCTTCTGGGACCGATTAGGGTATGGAAAATCGTCCAAGTGATAATCTTTGGATTTCTAAGCCTATATCAAGCATCGAAATGTCATTGTATTCGGGCCACAGCCAACTTCATGTATTTCAATAAAATGCAATTTAACAGTAAATTAATGAACGAATATCAACTTGTGATATATAGTTTAATAGGGGATTTTGAGGCGACTACTTTCAATGAAACAGGTGGTTGAAAAAAATTCTCATTGAATTCAAAGGAAGCGCCATCATCGATAATATAACCCTTGCGAATTTCAAATTTTTATCTCTTCAACTGAAAAAATACCGGCTGTTACATGTCTCCTGTGTCACCCGGTATAATACAGTGTGTCCCACTTACCATGCTGACCATGGGTATCTTTTTAACGGTGAGAGATACGAGGTCGGTTAAATGACACCAAATGTGGAGTTTGTCAAGGCCAACTATAATGTGAAATAATATTTTGATAAAATCTATTCGTTTTTGTTTTAAACGCAAAAAACAGATTTTGATAATTTTCATGTCTCCTCCGTAACTTCTTCATTTAAGAAAATATTTGAATAGGAATTTCACATTCTCATGGCAGTTTTTCAAAGTGATTTCGAAAAAAAAATTTAAATTTATACTAACTCTTCTAGAATTTGAGATATCAGCACCAACTTTAGTTTTTCAAATGTAGATCATAGCTCACTATGACTTAGTTACAATTAAATTTTTTTCTCTTACAGATGATATGTCGCAGTAATAGTTTTGTGTTGATAACAACGGAGTTATCGTCATTTATACGAAAATAAAAAAATTTTTGGAAGCCGACATCTTTGATTTATAAGTTTTAACAAAAAAATCATGATCTCCGACCTCAAAAACCCCCACTCACCAATTTTGAATAGAATCGTACCAAACTTGTCCGCCATCTTGGAGCAGCCATTTTTTTTAATTTCAACAAAAATTCCATAACGTATTGTCACCGAAATTATGAACACCTGCCAAATTTCAAGTTAATCGGAGTTATGGGATTTTTGTTGAAATTAAAAAAAAATGGCTGTTCCAAGATGGCGGACAAGATTTGGTCTGATTCGATTCAAAATTGGTAAGTGAGGGTTTTTGAGGTCGAAGATCATGATTTTTTTGTTGAGATTTATAAATTCAAAATGGCGGCTTCCAAATAATTTTGTGTTTATGTATAAATGACGATAACTCTGTTGTTATCAACACAAAACTATTACTGCGACATATCATCTGTAAGAGAAGAAATAGTTATTTGTAACTAAGTCATAGTGAGCTATGACCTACGTTTGAAAAACTAAAGTCGGTGCTGATATCTCAAATTCTAGAAGAGTTGGTATAAATTTCATATTTTCTTCGAAATCACTTCGAAAAACTGCCATGAGAATGTGAAATTCCTAATCGAATATTTTCATAAATAAAGAAGTTACGGAGGATACATGAAAATGATCAAAATCTGATTTTTGCGTATAAAACGAAAACGAATAGATTTCATCAAAATATTTTTTCACGTCATAGTTGGCTTTGACAGACTCCACATTTGGTGTCATTCAACCGACCTCGTATCTCTCACCGTTAAAAAGATACCCATGGTGAGCATGGAAGTGGGACACACTGTATGTTTCATTTAGTTACAACCTTTTTTTGTCTTCATGCATTACGACATGGGAACAATATGTTATTTTTATTTTGTGTGATAATATAATTAGCTTTTTTCTCGGAATAGATATAAGGAATTCAAGTTGATAATACGAATATTTTTTTTTCAATTTCAAATGTATTACAAAACCATGAGAACGCTGTATGAGTATAAGTGTTGCCTATCTTTTGCACACTATTTTCATCGTACTGATGAGGGCTGAAAGCCTGATGAAACACGTTTATTATTCTTGTCTGCTTATCAGTAAACATATAAATACAGTCTCGAAATGCCAAAAAATATTCAGATGTTAGATTTTCATCTTCAGTAGACACGAACATACACGAATATGGATCATATGGATAGTAAATTATGTGATAATGTATTACAATCTGATTCAGTGATTCAAAACATTCCAATGACGATTTCTAGTCTGTAAATCAATCTGTATATCTGCCTGGCAGAAGGGCCATACAATTTTAAGAGAAAGCTCGCTTTTAGATGGCATCACAAAAGTGAAAAATGGTCAGAGACAAACTTAAGTAATATTATTATATACAATTTGTTATGTTGCCAAGTTGGACCTCCGCTCACTTCGCTTTAATCAGAATCAGTGTATTATTCAGACTTTATTTCGTAAAACGTACAGCCATCTTCAGGGAACACGTTGTAGTTGGATCGTGTGAACAATATCGTACCCATGATTGAGTTTGCTTATATAAAAACTATAATCACCGTCGATAAACGATAGGACTGATACAAAATTCCTTAGAACATTACGTACATTTTCTATATTATTATGCCCAAATCAACTATCAAAATATCATATGTAGTCTTGAATAGCTGTTATAGATAGATAGATATGTCTAGATTGTTTGTCAAACCTTAATACGACACAAAAACTGTTAGCTTCAATTGAAAATAAAATGGTGTATCCTAGTGTACCTATACTATTTTCAAATCAAACACGATGAATTATAAATTGTGGGTCATCGCATAATTGAATGACAAAGTTCATCAGTACTTAGCATTTATTGTTTGATGTTGCATGAACACATATAACACATATCTACATTTTTGTATAATCAACATTTAGACCAGCAGCTAGAGACAGATTTTGATGTTCAAAAATGATGTTTTTGGTGTAAGAAGTAGCGCCGGAGTTGATTCTACTGCTCTCAAATTGGCGTATATCAATTTCTGATAGTTTAGAATGTTTAGATGCTATGTTGTAATTCAGGCGTATATCTGAAATGAGTGAAATATTTCGAGGCATATTAAATAGCATTTTTGTGAAAAAATAGTACGACACGGACTGGCAAATATGATATAGGGTAATACTCAATATATATGAAAATGTGGTGGTTTCCAGTGACTGACTTGTGCGTGCAAAAAGTGGGATGATGATTTCCTAGACTCTAAAACTCTTTCCAGAGCATACTTGGTGTTCGTTAGTCTGATGAAATGAATCGTAAATAAGAATAGCCCTGATGAATTAGATGTGAATTTCTCAAGAAACTCATTTAAGAGTATCAAAAATCCGATTATCAACCTCATAAACTGTTCTCTCGAACAAGGTATAGTACCTTCTGCCTTAAAAGTATCTACAATCATCCCTATACCAAAAAGGCAGAATTCAAACAAAGCATGTGATCTTCGCCCCATAAATATGTTGAGTACTATTGACAAAATATTAGAAAAATATGTTCATATTCAACTAGTACAATACTTATAGTATAGAACAAAATAATATTTTAAATGACAATCAGTCTGGTTTCAGGAAAAAACACAGTTGTGAAACAGCAATTCAGTATGTCATTGATGACGATTGGAAGAATTTGTTGGATTGTGACTATGCTGTACTAGCGGGTTTTCTTGATTTACAAAGAGCTTTTGAAACTATTGATAGGAGAAGGTCAATTGACAAACTGAAGACAATTGGGTTGACTGAGAATGTTCTCATGTGATTCAATAGTTACTTGCAAAATCAGAAAAAAAAATTAATTTTAATGGCTTCTCATCTGCAGAAGCGGTAAATGATTTTGGTGTACCCCAAGGCAGTATATTAGGGCCATTACTTTTCGTGTTGTAAATAGACGATATTATGAATCTGGGCATTAACATCAATAAATCTTTTTGCGGACGAAATACTGATATATGCATTTTCACGTGATCTATATAAATTAATATCTGTAATACAATCTGCTTTGAATGAGATTTTCAACTATACTTGACAGAATTTACTAAAAATCGTTGTATCAAAAACTAAAATCATTTCGATCGGAAAGGAAGCAATACAACAAGAGTTGAAAATAAATAACTATTACTTGAATATTGGAAATGGCAATACAACGACAAGACTTGAAAATAAGTAACTATATGTTCACACTACCTCTCATTTTTTTCCAAGAAAATTGTTTACAATACCCTGATTCTTCCACACCTCAATTTCTGTTCAACAATTCTATATCTTGTGAATCAGAATGATTTGAATAGAATACAAAAATTGCAAAACAGAGCAATGCGTATTATATTAGCATGTAATAAGTACACACCCATAATGGATATGTTAAAAAGTTTAAATTGGCTGCCTATTGAGGATTATTTTGAATTTTCGGCATTGGTATTTGTTTTCGAAATACAAAGAGGTGAAGCACCAAATTATTTGGTAAATTAGCTGACTTATATGAAAGAAATGCATCATCATAACACCAGACAAAAAGAACACTTTTTATTTTTCCCAGGAGTAAAAGATTCGCAGAAAAATCTGTTTTTTTTTTTGAAGGATTGAAACAATATAATGACTTGCCATCTGACGTGAAGAATGCATTTTCCATCAATACATTCAAGGCCAAGTTAAAAATGCATTCATTGAAACGAACCATCAACTCAAACTTTTGAAGATATATTGAATCGTTTATTTTGTCCTGTATTTTTCCCACTTTTCATTGTTCAATATTGATTTTTTAGAAAAACGAAAAATATAGTGAGATGAAGAATTGAAATATCTAGGTTTCTCTGGAAGTAGAATTTTGGAAAAATTCACCGATATTCTGCAAAAAAATCATGAACATTGCATTTTTCGAGTTTATTCAGAATTTTTTTTTGAAAAAACTAAGACAAAAACTCAAAATCCGCTTCCAGAGAAACATCCGTTCATCCTTTGTGAAGAGCCCAGTATTTTTTGTTTCAGGAAAAAAAAATTCTCTGTTATCTTCTGGTTTGTTTCAGTATGCTGGTACATGGTATGAACAGAAGAAATATCCATTTATTTTCGAAATAGGAGGCAAATGCATTACCGCTGAATATTCTTTGAACCCCAATGGTACTGTCGGAGTACTGAATCAACAGATCAACGTTTTGTAAGTTTGCATTATAGAATATAAATAAGTTATTTTTTCTACTCACATAACTAAAATGGCATTTAGCGTACGGATATGTACCACGCTAAATGAACGATTAATCACGGATTGTCGATCTGTGATATATTCAAAATATTAAACACGTTACCATGGCAACACGATTTCTTAAACACATCACCATGGCAACGCAGTTCATTAAACACAGCTTCAGTAATTTGAGACATGTCTGGTCTGTCAATTGTATCAACAGTCAACTGTTATTTTCGAATTTTGTATCAGAATTATTCAAACAATATTCGTTTGTATCGGAATTCTTCAATAACAATATACGCGAAAAGTAGACGAGACTGAAATCGAAGAGAATGTTCTGGTACTTGCATATCTCCAAGAAGTGTAAAAATGAAGCATCCATCTTTGAGAATAATTGATTTATTCTGCGCTAAGCATGACAATAAACGTGAAACAAAGGTTGCCTGTGGAAGTATTCCCAACAACATATAATCTCCAAAAGTTCAAAAAAAATTCCAATACCTACCTCCTGTCCCTATCCTCCCTAGGAACGCACGATGTTCTTTGAACATTATAGGGATTCCCTTTCGTGCGCTCCAAGCGATAAAAAAAAGCAATGGACTGGACACATCTACAACCAATATCACTTATACGTGTCTCGCTGGTTGCATGCAGTTGCATGTATTATATTCTCAATTCCCATTCCCTTCGAATTATTTTGTAGGTTAGCAGGAATTGCAGGTATGTTAATGTAATTTTCGGAGTTCGTAGAAAAATCATAGTATGTAACGCGTTTATAAACTCTTCTAGACACTCGTTTATTAAACACTCGCTCCGCTCGTGATTAAACTACTCGTTACTAAAAGGACGTTTATAACACTTGGTACATAATATACTATTATATACAGTATAATTTTCAACCGATTTTATTTTTTTTTTATTTCGGCAGACAGAGTATTTGAAGATCTATGTTCGTATTGACAATGTTGCCGCTTCTCAGAATTTCCAATCAAATTTTGCGCCTAACTAATTGAAGGATGCTGAATCCAGTGGTGGGGTCTATTTCCCTTTATAAAAATCGCTAAAGATATTTCGCAATTTTCAACATGAAAATAATAACATAGTATGCCCTCAAAATTGATTATATTTTGCAAATTTGTGGAAACGTAGATCTTCGGATACTCTTTCTGCCGAATCAAGAAAAAAATAAATCAGTTGGAAACTATAGATTTCATAAGGGTGGTATAGAGTCTCAAATGGGTCAAACTCTTAGATTTAGAATGAATACTTATCATTATTCATCGCTTATACTGGGTGTCCCATAATTAGCTTGACAATAATTGAACTTTATATGCTCAATGCAGTGAAAACATTACAGAATGACATTCAGGACTGAATAAAACAGGGTGGATTCCAACTTTTTTGTATGCATATTTTTCGGCAATTTCATCTCGGACTATAAAGCACCTACAAACCTCTTGACAGATATATCATGTTCATAAATTTTCATAAATCGATCCAAGAATATTGTTATTGGTTCATCTCACATGTTATGCATAACATTGCAATAAATCGTAGTGGCTATATTGTGAACAAATGCACAGAAAAAAATTGAGGTTGGTTTTTATCAGCGTCTTCCTATTTTATTTGGTGAAAAGAAAGTAGTTGATTTTTTATAGCCACTATGATTTGAAATTTGGAAACGTTGCGCATAATATTTATGTGGGATCTAACAATATTTTCAAATCGATTCCACTCGGAAATGATACTTACTAGTCTATACCTTTTTTTGTAGAGAGCTGAAATTTTCATAATCCGATATTTAATTGTTCAAAAATATGTATACAGAAGAGTTTGAGTAATATCTGATGTAGTCTCATCTTGTATTATACACCCCTGAATGAAATTTCTCAATGATTATATTTTCACTGCATCGAGCGAATAGTTCAGTTCTTGTACCAAATGGCATCATTTTATCACATGGTGTTACGGAAATATTCTGGAAATAAAAGCCACCTTCCAGGGGGTGGTCGTAGCCCCGTAGCTCCCTTAAGAACCAGATTTAGACTCATGTTCATTGAAACTTTTTTTCTATTCACATTCTCAGATGCCGCTAGTGACATTTGGCAGGTTGATTATGGGAAAACCTTGAATATGGCACATTATGTGCATGTCCCTTCCAGATCTCTATAATATCAGACTAGTGAACCTGGTATCGTTTGGCAAACAACCAATCAAGGGATTCAAGCAAGGTTCAAGTAACTTCATAGTAACTAATCATTATCGAAGATGATAATCCCATATATGTATGACCTTCAAATTCCGTGTCCATTGAACGGGTTTAAATGTGTCAATTTAATCCTGGTTTTGAGGAACTTGAGGAAAGGCTCTCTTCCTGGAAGTATAAAAATAAATCTGAACATAATTATAGTCCTGAGGAACTGTACCTACTCCAACAACGGAAGTAAATAGAGACAAGTGGATATCCTATAGGGTGATTTCTGAGCTCTAATATAGTATTGTGAATAATTACAACCTTATTGTCTCTCGTTCAACTGTCTAGGCTTATTGAAGTTGAATTGCCGATTATAATATATCTCTTCATAAAATTGTTTTGATATAAACAACTGCTAGCAAAATCATTCGAGGACTGTTCTAGATTTTTGTGATTTCGAATATATCAGTAGATTCGGACGAAGTAGGGTCCGTCAAAAAAATAGGAGACATATTGATTTAGGTATTGCAAAGTTATGACCAAAATAACGTTCCGCAAGGCACCTTCATACGAGATAAGGTATGTACAGTTCCTCATGAGTTATAGGTACCCTGTATATGCTATCAAATATTTTGAGAGTGCAGGTCATATTTCGTAATGCTGATGCTTCCATATAAAAAATGGTGGAATATCTGGATTTCCATATTTTTTCAGAACAGGCAAGCCAAGTTCAATCCAGGGTTCTGCTCGTTTGGATTCCACTACTGGTGAAGGAAAGTTGTTGGTTAATTTTCCCAGCGTACCATGTGAGTATCACATCAAGAAGTTCTCCTGATACAATCATGTTCACACAAACAAGTACATACAGGGTGTATCTAAATATTACCGAAAGAATTCAAGGGATGATTCCTTGTAATGTTTTAGAAAATGAAGTTTTTATAAACATGTGTCCTAACTTGGGGAAACAATAAAAATTCGATTTGTCTCCAAATTTCAATGTAGGTATTTTCAAGACTTCCATTGAGATTACTCAATAACCCCAATTGGAATCTCGAAATTTCGGGGCTTTCTCAGTCTCCATCCATACTGAATTTTGGCACCATGAAAGTTAATACAGGAGGGTTATAAATAAAAACAATTGAAACTTCCAACTTCAACATCCTCTATATCAAAAACGGAGCAAGTTAGGACACATGTTTATATTAACTTCATTCACTAGAATATCACAAGAAAACGCCTTCTTCTTCCGGTGTTATTTAGATACACCCGATTTATTAATATACAAAAACGTCAACACAAAAGTGTCAAATAAATTAAGAAACTCTAACATTGACTATTAATAGTCCGAGATATGCATTTAGGACGGATCATAAGTAACTCTGTGTACAGAGTGTGGATATGAAGACATCCTCTGTATTTCAAATATATTTCTGAAAACGGAGATTTGATTTTCAGTCCCGCGCAAAGGGAAGATTGTCGATATTTTGCTTCGCCTTGTAGATACCGAAAAACGTTTTGAAAAAGTTGCTCAGAAATCTATTTAGAAATTTAGAAATATGTATTAATGTCACTTTTGAAAGCCGAATCAGAAAGTGGCAAAGCAAAAGTTCTATGAAAGTAAACAGAAACAGTAAATTTGCATCTTTCAACTACTATATAATGACATTTTGTATCTAGATTTTCTCTACTGTTACAGTTAACGTTGATGCACCATACTGGATACTAGCCACTGACTACGAAAGGTATGCAGTGGTGTGGTCTTGCACTAAAGTTCCTCTGATTGGATCTACAAGTAAGTATTTCATCTCAATATAAATATTTGTTCCAGCAGGTACAGAGTAATGTTGCAGAAATTGTTTTTCCACCACTAGCCCTAGAACCTACCATTATTTACTCCTTTTCAAGGCGTAAAGTGTGTTTTTACTACCAAGGTAGTTTTTGACATTTTATGAACTAGTAGGCAATAAAGACATATAGCCACCTCTGATATAATTAACACGAATTCACTGTTCTTATGCGAGATTCGCAGGAATGACACTTGAATCTATGACTTGTCAAAGAGGTGCGTCCATAGTGACAATAGGTCCATATTTCAGAATCACAGAACACAGATAGTGATCGAGATATACTGCTTATGGTGAAAAAATTGTAATATACACCTTGGTAGTGAAGAATAATATACCTAACGGTTGAAGTCTCCGGATATAATGTGGGTTCCTGAGTAATACTGATATTCTTTACAACCTTGGTGTAATGACTATTTTCATTCATTTGATTCGATAACCCGAAATATCATACTTACAGAATATAGTAATAAATTTCAAAACGAGTGAAAATCAAGATTGAATAATACACTTAACAATAAATTAATTTCAAGCATATTTCTTTTCATTCACTTGCTGTTGCTGACCATATTATATTCTGAACATTCCCGTTTGTGGGTAGATATACAGGGCTTCTCAAGATGAACGTTAATTGGACGTTTCTGGCAAATCAAGCAACATACGATTCTGGAAATTTGATGGTATATATATATATATATATAGGGTGAGTATATAGTGTGTTCTCCTTCGATATTAGCGAAACCGTCAGGGCGTCAGGTATATAAAAATATTCGAATACAAAAGTTATAGGATTTGATGAAAGCTATCACCTAAAATTATTATCATATCTATAGAATGTTCTAATTCCCAGATATCGGCTAATGATGGGTGTATTTGAATGAAACCCCCTGTATATTATTGAATTTTCAAATTTTTCCTGAAATGCCGATTTCATCAATGCATCACACTTGGGGACTAGCGGAAATGATTACAGAGATATAGGGTGTTCAGAATCTAGAAATGTAATATTATACAGGGTGTCTCATTCAAAAACTGTCATCATCAACCGATATCTTCGAATTCGAACACTCTATAGATATGAGAATGAATTTTGGTGATAGTTCCCAGTATAACTGTTGTATTCGAATTTTTTCTATATATCTGACGGTTTGGCTAATATAGAAGAAGAACACACTATATTGAGTCACCCTGTATATAAATTGTCATGATTTACACGTCTAAAATATTTTGAATGATGCGGTGCTGCCGCTTCTCCTAGAAAGTATCAGCAACTTTTATATTCCAAACAGAACACCCTGTGTTCAAGATCGTTATTTTTCAATTTTAAGATGTTTCGTGACGAAAATATAATGGATATTTTCGTTTTGCTGAAAACGGCTTTCATGACCCTACGTTTACTTTTGATTCGCTATCTACTGCCATTAATTTGGAACAAATACAGGGTGGTTCAAGATTCAAAATTCTGATCAACCTGTATCTGTTCCAATTAAATGTCAATCAGGTGTTGAGATTGGGACATGAAAGCCGTTTTGACCAATAATGAATATGGTTTCGACCAAATCCTAAAGTAAAAACTCCACATTGTGAACACCCTATATCTCTGTAATCATTGTTGCAAGACCCCACCTGTGATGCATTGATGAAGGCAGCTCTCCAGGAAGAATAAAGAAATGCAATGAAATGCAGGGTGTTCTATTTCTAAAATCAAAGTTTCTACTACTTTCTAGTGATGCGGCAATGCCGCATCGATCAGAATATTTCAAACGTGTAGATCATGTCATTGTCACAGAATACTCAGAGTATTCTGTGTCATTGTATACTTTTATTCATATGTTGCTTGGTTCGCCAGCAACGTCTAATTTATATTCATTCTGAGTAACGTGACTCGTGCTCCGATTGAAATAAAAAAATTGGAATTGGATATCTCCTCTGATGATCGAGATAAAAAATGAGAAAAAAAAATTGATGATGAGTCTCAGATTTAAATTGTTATTCGTTTCTACTACTGGTGCACACCACAAGGAAAATGGTTATCAGTAAACACGGGATTCATATGAAAATGCATTTTCAATAAAAATTATTATGAACATATCACTTCAGGAAATATCATCAAAATGGTACTCGAGACACGAACAGAGACAGAAATGTTAAACTAGTCAGTTTATTTCAATTCAATACATTATCAGAAGATAGATGGGTACCTTTATTTCCTGTACTACATGTTCACAAGTTTTATTTTGTTACTCATTGATGTTGTCTATCATTACACAATATTTTCAATTCGAAATAGAAATTCTCAAATTCTAATTGTTATCTCCCCCGAAAAGTTTAAATATTTACATTACATTTCATCAGAATTCGAATCATCTTTCATGATAGTTAATCTCTAGGTGACAAATAACAAAATAGTGATTACAAATGGATTTCCGGTCGTTCTGTACAAATAAATGATTATCATTGAAAAATTTTCCGAATGTTATTACTCATAGTAGGAGAGCCGGCTCCAGATTTCTACCGTCATCTGATAAGGAAATGATATATGTCAAGGGAAGAAAAAACATTGTAGTTCATTGAACGGCACCTGTGCCAATCACTATCCTGAACAAAATGATGAAACGATTGCACTTTCCTGTGCGGTAATTTGCACTCGATTTTGCGATTTCATAACGAGATAAGAATTATGCCATCCGATACCAACTGAATGGTAGATCTCAAAAACCTACCTGTGCCACAACTCAATCTGAGCACAACGATTTATTTGCTCCTATTATTCCGGACATACTTCCGTCATGTGATAAGGAATATAGTTTTTTATGTCATCACAACGTCATCTAATGCCCTTGACGACCGCAAATATTAGGCATTGTTTCTTCATATTCAAACTGATTGCATGTTCTGATACTGTTCATGTGTCAAATCCCATTGAACGAAGCTCCATCAAAATATTATGTACAGTAAAGGATTGTTATCACTTCATCTTCAAAAGTATTCAATTTGGCCAACCTTCTACATGACATTCTGAGTAAACCCCGTGTATAGAAGCATAAGGAATGTGATTTCAGTTTTCTGAATAAAATGATCTAGTTTTCTGATTTTTTTGAGTTAATTCTGTATTTTTGAGTAGTGAAATCGAAAAAATCGATTTGAATAATTCTTTCATCTCCGAAATACAAGGGTGGTCCCAACTGAGGTTGGATCACTATACTGTTTGAGAGTAGCGTATTGTAGTATATTTCATGCCACAATGAAATACGGTATACCTTTTTGGGGGGGCACAACAAATGCTTCAAGCATTTTTGAATTACAAAAAAGAGTGATACGTGTTATGGGTAGGGCTGAATGGGATGCTCATGCTAGACCCCTGTTTCAACAATTCCGAGTTATGACTCTTCCCTGTTGTTTCGTACTACAACAGTGTTCAGGTCATGTCAAAAGGCTGACAATAGCAGGAACAACTATTAATTGAACTTGGAGATACTCATGATCATCTCACAAGATCTCGGTCATTGCTGGGATTGCGAAGATTTAGACTACATCGCACTCAGTCATCTCATTTTTACAGGATGTTCCTTGAAGGCATGCTAATATTCAAGGGGGTGATTCTCCAACTTATTTCAAGCAAAAAACTTCCCACTAACGTATCTCCTGAAAGTCTTAACTTTAGAGATACAGGGTGATGAAGTTTTGAAAAAAAAAACAGTTTTCTAATAATAACTGGGATAATATTGTAGACATCTTTATGGAATTTGGTACATATCTTCTATGCATCAAGGTGCATTTTTTGATGTACACACATTTTTCTTTTCTCTACCAGTGGCGCCGTTAGGAGGATATGATTGATTATATTATACTCGAAAGTGAGCAACGAAGGAATATTTCCAGATTTAATAAAATACTACAAAAAGTCTTTCAATTTTGTACAAGAAATATTTCCTTGATACCCGATAGGACGCTCCGTTTCCGAGAACGAAAAATAGAGGTCAAACTTCAAATTTTGATGTAAATGCTAAGCTTGAGTAGGTACTCCATTCAAGACATCTATTACTGGATAACCACTGTATGTAGCATTTTGAAAATTTTACACCATTTCAGTCACATAGCAGACTGAATTTTGCCATCAGGAAAAGCTATACAGGGTGGACAAAAAAAAGAATCTATGTATATGTTCAACTTTGATACCCTGTATCTCAAAAGTTAGGAATTTTACGGCATACGATCAAAAGTTTTATTCTTGGAATTGGTTCAAGAATCGCTCCCTTGAATATCAGCATGTCATTAGAGAGCACCCTGTATTAATCCTACAAATACTTCAACTGTTTTACCATTGGAGCTAAAAGAATAAATTCAGAAGAACTTTGAGGGATGTTTTCATTGAAAATTGTTTTTATTCAGACCGAAAGTTCGTCTCTCACTACTCGGAATAAAAATTTAAATAAAATAGTCTGTGTTTATTTGACTTTATTGTAATTTACATTTTCAATCAATAATTTCTGTTTAAATTGTCTATATTGTGATTTTCATTTTTGATCAATAGTTTCTGTTTATGTATTTGATGTTTCATAAACTTATCGACGACTGTAAACACAAAAGTGTGAAACATGGAAAAATATCTATTTCTCTATATATCTACTGGGTGACACCAAGCACAGGGTATTGGACCACCCCGAGGGTCATCCCTTCTGAAATCGTAAACAGATTTTTTTGAAATTTAGTACAGTTATATGGATTACAATCCAATATGGCGGACGACCTGGAAATGCAAGCAACTTTGTTTTTTGAAATCAAACTCCCCGTATATTTTCACATAATCAAGTTCAACATGTCAAAACAAGCGGAATCTTCATGTCAAATGTAATTATTTCAAAGAATATAATTTCGAATCGTTTCATTTTTTCCACTCCCTGGAATGAGATCTAGTCAAGGCTTCTCATGATGAGTCCCACATACTAGAGAAACATATTTTTTTCTGAAAAATCATTTTTTGTGTCACTTATCGATGAATCAATTCAGTCACATCACATTTTGATCAAAATTTCATGTTTTTCTAATGGAACCTCTATTGGCCACCTACCTGTCTCTTTGGAACATACATCCAGGAAACAAATGACATATCACTCTTGTGATTTCGGTGGAGTAAAACTCAGCTCATGAATTTCTCTGCAGTACGAATAATTTTTCAAGGATAAGCTGTGGACAGCAACATTTCTGAATCTTGTCATAAAGATTGCACTTGTTTTGATCTGTTGTACTGGAATATGTTCAAATATACAGGGTGTTCCATTTGAATGAAAATTTTCTGAAAAACCAGAAGTCCGTCATATTGGATTGTAATGTCATCAAATCCATAATGGTTGCCTACATAGCTGTACCAAAATTCAAAAAAAAAATCCGTTTACGAATGTAGAAGATATAGGTGTGGCCCAATACCCTGTGTTACTCTGTATTTTAAAATACTGGATGATTATTGAGTAAACTAATAGTGGGTGTTTCAGTTGAGTGGACCATCCAATTATTTTTCAGAAGTTTGTTTAGTGATGACGCGCCTATGTATTTCAGGAAATGCTTGGATTCTCACTCGTGAAAGAAACCCTGCCAAACATATCATCGACGAAGCATTGAGTGTTTTCGAAAAGCAAGACCTGTCTACAAACATTCTGAAGACTACAGACCAAGAAAATTGTTAGCAACGATAGTTGTTTGACCAAATAATTTAATGATAGCAATTATTTCGCATCCATTTTCTTGAATAAAAATTACTCCGAATGAGTTTCAATTTTATTTCTGATGCATGGTAGACAAACATATTATAAGAGAGCCTAATGTTTTCGAACCATTCCCATGTCTCTTTCTCAGATTGGTTACAGTGAATCACGTGACACATTTTAGACGCATACGCATTCGCTCTTAGAAAAACTTGGAATTATTAACAAGACCCTCGGGGTCTCGAAAGGAAGAAAAAACATCCTTGAAAGCCTAAATCACTACACACATGATCACAGATAGCTGACGCCATGCTATTAGTGGACCAGAATAAAACTTCCTGAGCAAACTCAGCCTCCAGAATTTCATTGCGGAAAATAATCATCAAAAAACACGCTTCCCAACATAGCACGAAATGGGAACGGTTCGAAAGATTTAGGCACTATTCATATTATGATATCGTGTGAAACGAGCCAAAAATGGTCAAATGGTCATGTATTTTTGATTTTGTTTTATACCAACAGTTTTTCTTTCTGCGAATTCAGAATCTTTTCCTCGATTTCAGACTATTTTCTCTGAATTCATTTATTTTCATCTGAATGCAGAGATTTTTGTCTGAATGCAGACGTTTTGTCGAATTCAGATTCCTTCATTATAGATTTATATACGTTTTCATCTGAATTCAAACATCAGAAAAAAAGTCTGAATCTAGACAAAAATGTCTATGAACTCCAAGAAAAGCCTCAATATCTATAATTGTCGTAATTTCACTGGGATGAATAAAAATTTGACAAGACTGTTCGCATCTGCGCATCAGCATCCCTTCCTTGTCTGTTCCAAGCTCATCAACAGACAACTCACCAACTCTCATCTCAATAATACCCAACTCTTCTACGGATACATTCCATCAACACCCACTCATTGAGGACCCAACTCATCAACACACCCATTTCACCAACACTCACATAATCAACGACTCCACTTATTGATGCATCCATTTCACCAACATCCATCTCTCCAACGATAAATCATCAACTCCCAGTTCACCAACGACCCACCTCAACAACGCACGAATTTCATCAATTCCCATCTCATCAATTATCGATCTTATCAACGATCCAAGCATATTCATCAACGTATCTTTTTCATCAACATTCAACTCGTTAACGCTCTAGCTGGTCAACGGATAGGTTGTTGATGAGTTGGGTCGTTGAAGAGTTAGGTGTTGACGAAACGATGGTGTGGATTGGGTCATGCTATAACACATCATGAAAACAACGGTGTTTCAACAGAAAATCAAGATTTGAACCAGTTTCAATACGATGAATGATTCATTGTTGAATGACTTTTATTCAGTATCGAACAATGATATTCATTGTGAGTGGTACGTAATACATACTAAACATGATTGTCATAGTTACTGAATACCTATAGAATTTTTAGCTATGAAGACCACGAAGTCATTCCATCATAACTACTAATCATATCAGTGCGTAGTAGTGAACTTATCAGACATCAATCTAGTGGCGTTAGCAGAATGGCATTCCATAAATGTCACATCACATCAGTGAATGTAGTGATACTTACTGAATACATCGTCAGCTGTAGCAAATTATGATGTGGGGTGCACTCAATATTTTAGCTGTCTATGTTGCAACAGAACTATTTTGCTGGTATACTTATCTAAATTCTTGGAGTATTTCTTTTTCTCAATTAGATATCTTTTTTTATTATTGAAAGATTCCTGTATTTCAAGTAGTATGACAGTTTTTCATTCTCACATTACTCAAAATTGTTTCACGTTTCTCGTTACGAAAAGAAAATAATCACTTTCATAGAGTCCCAAAATCTTCAGTGAGGTCACTTTATACCCCTACTTCCTATAGAAAAAACAGCTCCCACAGCATGACCATGTTAATACTTCGCCAATATAATCAAAGTACGTTTTCATCCAGTTCTGATTCTGAAGCCAGCTTCACTGAAAGATATCGGTTTGGTAAAAATCATGTTCTATCACATTTTTCAAGAGTGACAAAACTGATGGATGCACATCAGGTCATGATACATTTCCTGAAGCCTCTGGTAGCCTACATTTATCAAGACAGGGACTTTCTTACAGGAAATTTCCTCATGAAAAATGTATGAGATATGTTGGAGAAAATTGTCTTGGAGGGTATAGGATGTCGAGATATCTTAACTATTCGTATAGTGTCATGTCACTCTAATATGGCGCACTGCACGTCTTCTTTGAGGATCCAGCTATGCGTTTTTTTACTTCAATTCATAAAAAAATGTTTCTTTTTAAGAGATGACTATTCTTGAATTCATCGAAGTTCCCTAAAAATTGCTCATCCAAGAAGTAGATGATAACAAACATCATTTTAAATATCATTCATTTCTTTACTCAGATAGTATAGAGAATTCCCAACTCTTTATGGATAACATGAACATCATGACTAATCGAGAGAATAATTGCAAAAGTTGGATAAGATCAGCATAGTGTTGACAGAATTTTCACATTAGGGTTCATTTACAAGTCTTTTTGGTTGGTTATTCGCATCGAATAGAGCATGATATAGGTAACATCCAATGTCCGATTATAAATTCGATAAAAGCAGTATCGTTGTCAACCTTGAAGTATATAGAAATTTCAACGCGATATATAGAAAAAATCCTATATAATATACGAAATCATCAATATTATATGCAAAATTTCCTATATCGTGTGAAAAATGTTCCATATATTTAAGTGCGACGACATTTCAATATATTTGGTTTGGTTTGGTTCATAATTATTATTTGTAATATATAAATTTTTTACTGAATTTATATAGAAAAAAGTCTATATCAAATGCACAAATTTTTTATATGACGAAATCTTTATATATTTGTGTGTCAGGAAAGTCTATATTTGTGCGTCGCGAAAGTTTATATTTGGTTGTACCAGTGTGTGCAGAAATAGACTTTCGGGTTCCAGGGTTCACCGATAGGTGGCTGAACGCGGCTGGACGTCAGCAAAGAATGAGGTTAGGGGATCTGGCAAAACTGATATTATTATATTCTGGTTGTGTCCAAAATACTCATCTGCCTAGAATGAAGAAGAAATGGAGAAGAACGAGAATACATTTTTCTATTTTACATAATCTTTAACCTAACATTTTTTTTTTCGAGTAAAAATGTCATTCCCAACGGTTTCAGTGGAAGAGTTTCTCAATGAAATTGTTGAATGTCACGATAATGTGGTGAATCTACTTTCTCAAGGAGATTCTTCAAGAGCCTTATCTCCTCAGTGGAAAATTGAGGACTACTGTAGGTTGTTGAACATATTCATTGATGATATAATGGCCTGTGAAAGGTTGAAACAGTTATTATCATCAGTTTACAATATACTGTTATGGTCAAATTGAGCATGTTCTCAACACTGTTGATTCGCAGGACCGAACCTATGTATATTTTTACTTCATCAACTAGCAGTAACAGTGTTGGTCCCCCGAAGTATGATATTTCAAAGGAACAATTATTAAGGATTTTAAGAACATCAGGTCTGAGTTGGACCAGAATATCAGGATTACTTGGTGTTTCTAAAGCTACATTATATAGACACAGAATAGCAATGAATTTCTTAGAACCTCAGTGTTGCCAGATCCTCTAACCTCATTCTGTGCTGACGTCCAGCCGCGTTCAGCCACCTATCGGTAAACCCTGGAACCCGAAAGTCTATTTCTGCACACACTGGTTCAACCAAATATAAACTTTCGCGACGCGCAAATATAGACTTCCTGACACGCAAATATATAAAGATTTCGTCATATATAAAATTTGTGCATTTGATATAGATTTTTTTCTATATAAATTCAGTAAAAATTTTATATATTACAAATAATAATTATGAACCAAACGGCATACTAATATATATTGAAATTTCGTCGCGCTCAAATATATAGAATATTTTTCACACGATATAAGAAATTTTGCATATAAAATTGATAAGTTTGTATATTATATAGGACTTTTCTCTATATTTTGTGTTGAAATGTCTATATATCGAGAAAAATTATTATGAACCAAACGGCGCCTCATATATGTCGAACAACACTGCATCAAAACTAGTTCGTCTATATAAATATAACCGCAAAGCGTTGGAATTCTCTGCCAATGGAATCATTCCAAGGAACTTATAAACTCCAAAAATTCAGAAAAAATCCAACACCTTCCTTCTTCCCCTATAACAATAAGGAGAATATTTTCGTGCGATCCAATGAAGAATAAGTTTGTTCAATTTTGAAGCCCAGCAAACTGTTTGAGAATTAGTTACAAGCTTGGTAACTAAGCCCTTGCCCTGGAGAAATAAGAATTTCACAAATGTCATTCATAAATAAATTCATTCGGAATTTAAGAATTTGAAATTGCTGAAATAATTAATATCTTCAGTATTTGAAAACCAGTCATAGGGGTCGGTTGGTTAGTCTTGTTGAGCAAAGCCGATAAATAAATATATTAGGGATATTTCATCAATCAATCAGATTATCTATTAACAGTCGTGAGTGTGAACAGTGGATAAAGTGTTTCTTGATGAAATTCATAAAACAAGCAGTGAATCTGAAAAATACATGCCGAAATAAGCTAATTCAAAACTGTAAACAAGCTTCTTATACCTAACTGCAGTGATTGAAAAGTATCCATAGCCATCAAGCTTCTGAATGTTCTATGGAAGTTGAAGAAATGCGAAGTAAATATGAGCTAGGAGTGAAGAGAAAGTACAAGTAGAGTCTATAGAGATAGATAAAAATTCTGAATCATACCACTACTTGCACTTACTTAAGACTATGTATTGGTGAGGATTCTGAAACAAATTGATGAAAATTGTTAAATAATGGGCTCACATAGTATATAGGCATAAAATACTTTTTGATTCGGTATTATCAATTTCAAATTTTGTAATAAAATGTGAATTCACATAGCTCCTTGATTTACAAATAAACCATGGTGAAATTAAAAAAAAACTCACTCTGGGTTACATCTTAATAATAATAACAGCTTATTTTGAAAATCTGACGACGCCACTGGATTCTTCGTGAAAAAAGA